GAGAGAGAGAGAGAGAGAGAGAGAGAGAGAGAGAGAGAAAGAAAGAGAGAGAAAGAAAGAGAGAGGGAGAGAGAGAGAGTGATAGATAAGGGTGAAGGAGACTCAAGAGGCGGTCCTTGGAGGAAGCGCGATCTATAGGGCCATTGGTCAAGACTTCAGATCCAAACCCATGAGAAGTTTGGTTCATCCTGAATTCGGTCTCTATTTTATTACTGCCATGTCAGAATCGAATGCGGTGAAGGTATTGCCAACTCTAGCTTTTGCGCTGCGAAGGCGACGGCCGATGTAAGCGTCCACAGTGCTGTTGAGAAAAATGAGCCGACTGAAAATGATTTTTTTCCAAGAAATCTGCCCGCGTCGAAGGTGCTGAGGCGTTATCACTGGTCGCTTGACATTGACGTCGTGCGTGCGCTTGTCCGTGCGGCCTTCCCGGAAGAGACAACCGTTTACACCAAACCACGGCTTGCGCCAACCACCGTATACACCAAACCACGCTTTACGCCAACCACCTTGCGAACCAAACCGCGGTTTGCGCCAACCACCACTTACACCAAACCACAACCACCCAACCGCGTTTTGCGCCAACTGTTCACACCAAACGACGGTTTGCGCCAACCGCCCTGCGCACCAAACCATGGTTTGCGCCAACCACCGTTTAAACCAAACCTTTACACCAACCACTGTCTACACCAAACCACGGTTTGCGCCAACCACCGTTTACACCAAACCACGGCTTGCACCAACCACCGTTTACCCCAAACCTTTACACCAACCACCGTTTACACCAAAGCACGGCTTGCGCCAACCGCCGTTTACACCAAACCACGGTTTGCGCCAACCGCCGTTTACACCAAGCCTTTAAAGCGACCACCGTTTAACCAAACCACGGCTTGCGCCAACCATTATTTACCAGCCACGGGTCACACCAACCACGGTTTACACCAAAGCAGCAGCTTCTTTGCTGCTGGTTGTTTGTTGCTGCTGCTGGGTTTTCTACTGCTGCTGCTTGGTGGTCTGCTGCTGTTGCTGCTTTGCTCCTGCTTTGCTGCTGCCTGCTGTTTGGTTGTTGCTGCTGCAGCAGCTTTTTTAGGTTCAGAGAGCGCAAGTATCCGTGCGGGCGGCTTCGACGGAGAAGCGGTGTGAATATATATAAATATATATGTGTAAATAAGCAGTGACAGATCACTGTATTGATCTATCCTTGAGACGCAAGAAAGGGTACATTTAGCGACAGTATTGACCAGAGAAACCATCCAAACATTCACGCGCGCTGCGAGTGATGAGTATTTTCAGCAGAATGTAAGAATGGAGGCTTCAATAGACAACATTGTATTCTGTGCATTATTCCCGAATGCGTAGCGAAGGGTTTATAGTTGGGGGTCTGGGGGTTGGAGCTGTGTTTGCATGGCTTGCGTCGTGTCGTCGTCTCTCGTCGTCTCTCGTCGTCTGTCGTCGTCTGTCGTCGTCTGTCGTCGTCTGTCGTCGTCTGTCGTCGTCTGTCGTCGCGTCGCGTCTCAAATTTGCTGCCATTGGGGGAAGCTTTTGCAAGTGACTTTGCATGGATGTGTCACGTGTCAGTTTGCGCCGCTATTCCATTGTGATTTGCGTGACACGGACATGTCGCGCAAGAAACGTGATGCACTTCGCTGCACAGGCGCAGCGTTTTGTGAGATCCGCAGATTACGGCGCAGTTCCATTGGGATTAGCGTTTGGAGAGTCGTGTTTTTGGGGTGTTGGATGTGGCCGTGCCATTGGGATTTGCGTTTCAGGGTGTGGCATCGAAGCTCTGTTTTCGTGACAAGTCTCAGCTGAAATGGCGATTTTGATGGATGGGAGTGTGCTCTGAACGGGTCGAAATCATTCCAAACGTGTGGTGTGGTGCAAATTTTGTTGAAGCTCACATGCGATGATATTGTCACTTATCGTGGCAGGCGCAGGACTTCGTGCGGGATTTGAAGCGTGGAAGTGCAATTCTCGTGGCAGGCGCAGGGAATCGTGAGGTTGCGAGGTGTGAGGGAGGTGACATTTCGTGGCAGGCGCAGTACTTTGTGCGCGTTAGACGTGGATGGGGAAAGATTCGTGGCAGGCGCAGGGAATCGTGAGGTTGTGAGTTGTGGTAGAGGTGAATGTCGCTGTCCCATTGGGATTGGCGTGTGAGCGGATGTTGCTTGGATGGGCTGGAATCGCGAAATTGCTTGGCAGGGCTGCGTGATGTGTGTGCTCCGATGGGTGTTTCCGCTTGACTTTTGGAGGAAGTCTCGTACGGAACGCTCGTTTTGCAGACTTTGACGTGTGAGTTTTTGAGGAAGTCTCGTACGAAACCCTCGTTTTGGAGACTTGACGCGCAACCCTCTGCAGAGATCGTGCGTGTCGAGCGCACCAAATGCAGGCGAGAGTGCGATTTGTCCCATGCGCGCGCAACCCTCTGCGGAGATCGTGCGTGTTGAGTGCGCAAAATGCAGGCGAGAGTGCGATTTGTCCGGTGGAGCTGGAAGCTGAGAACTGGCGACCTTGTAGTACAACTGTAGTACATGGAGTTTCTGGGGAGCTGGAAGCTGAGAACTGGCGACCTTGTAGTACAACTTTAGTACGCGGAGTATCTGGGGAGCTGGAAGAGAGTCCCACAAGAGTGTCCCGCAACAGTGTCCCACTAGAGTGTCTCAAAAGAGTTTCCCTTAAGAGTGTCCTACAGGAGTATCCCACAAGAGTGTCCTACAAGAGTGTCCCACAAGAGTGTCCCACAAGAGTGTCCTACCCTACAAGACTGTCCCACAAGAGTATCCTACAAGAGTGTCCCACAAGGAGTGCCACAAGAGTGTCCCACAGAGTGTCCCACAAGAGTGTCCCACAAGAGTGTCCTACAAGAGTGACCCACAAGAGTGTCCTACAAGAGTGTCCTATAAGAGTGTCCCACAAGAGTGTCCCACAAGAGTGTCCCACAAGAGTTTCCCACAAGAGTGCTCTACAAGACTGTCCCAAAAGAGTTTCCTACAAGAGTGTCCCACAAGAGTGTCCTACAAGAGTGTCCCACAAGAGTGTCCCACAAGAGTGTCCTATAAGAGTGCCCCACAAGAGTGTCCTACAGGAGTATCCCACAAGAGTGTCCCGCAAGAGTGTCCCACAAGAGTGTCCTAGAAGAGTGTCCCACAAGAGTTTCCTAAGAGTGTCCCACAAGAGTGTCCTGCAAGTGACCCACAAGAGTGTCCCACAAGAGTGTCTCACAAGAGTGTCCCCCAAGAGTGTCCTACAAGAGTGTCCCACAAGAGTGTTCCACAAGAGTGTCTTCTAAGAGTGTCCCACAAGAGTGTCCCACAAGAGTGTCCTACAAGAGTGTCCCACAGGAGTTTCCTACAAGAGTGACCCACAAGAGTTTCCTACAAGAGTGTCCTACAAGAGTGTCTCAGAAGAGTGTCCCACAAGAGTGTCCTACAAGAGTGCCCCACAAGAGTGACCCACAAGAGTGTCCTACAAGAGTGTCCTACAAGAGTGTCCCAGAAGAGTGTCCCACAAGAGTGTCTTACAAGAGTGTCCCACAAGAGTGTCGCGCAAGACTGTCCCACAACAGTGTCCCACTAGAGCGTCTCACAAGAGTGTCCCTTACGAGTGTTCTACACGAGTATCCCACAAGAGTGTCCTACAAGAGTGTCCCACAAGAGTGTCCCACAAGAGTGTCCCACAAGAGTGTCCCACAAGAGTGTCCTACAAGAGTGTCTCACAAGAGTGTCCCACAAGAGTGTCCTACAAGAGTGTCCCACAAAAGTGTCCCACAAGAGTGTCCCACAAGAGTGTCCCACAAGAGTGTCCTATAAGAGTGTCCCACAAGAGTGTCCTACAAGAGTGGCCCGCAAGAGTATCCTACAGAGTGTCCCGCAAGAGTGTCCCGCAGAGTGTCCCACAAGAGTGTCCTACAAGAGTGTCGTACAGGAGTGTCCTACAAGAGTGTCCCACAAGAGTGGCCCACAAGAGTTTCCTACAAGAGTGGCCCACAAGAGTGTCCTACAGAGTGTCCCGCAAGAGTGTCCCGCAGAGTGTCCCACAAGAGTGTCCTACAAGAGTGTCGTACAGGAGTGTCCTACAAGAGTGTCCAACAAGAGTGTCCCACAAGAGTGTCCTATAAGAGTGTCCCACAAGAGTGTCCCACAAGAGTGTCCCACAAGAGTTTCCGACAAGAGTGTCCTACAAGAGCGTCCCACAAGAGTGTCCTACAAGAGTGTCCCACAAAAGTGTCCCACAAGAGTGTCCTGCAAGTGACCCACAAGAGTGTTCTACAAGAGTGTCTCACAAGCGTGTCCCACAAGAGTGTCCTACAAGAGTGTCCCACAAAAGTGTCCCACAAGAGTGTCCCACAAGAGTGTCCCACAAGAGTGTCCTATAAGAGTGTCCCACAAGAGTGTCCTACAAGAGTGTCGTACAGGAGTGTCCTACAAGAGTGTCCCACAAGAGTGGCCCACAAGAGTTTCCTACAAGAGTGGCCCACAAGA